GGTCATGGTAAAAGACTCAAGATTGCTGATTTCGGTTTGATGCGTGAAGTGTATCATGAAATGTATGAGGTACAGAAGCAGAAGAAACTGCCAGTTAAGTGGATGGCACCTGAGTCCCTTTATGAACAGATATTTACTTCTAAAAGCGATGTGTTAGTAACTTTTCCTTGTTTCATTACAAATTCAGTATCCAGTCATAAATTCTAATGACGGTGCATCATTTATTTATTGGCATATTAACGCATCTTTTTCTCTCATCTCTTTCACGCAATATTTCTCCATTTCATCTGAAAGGAACAACAATTCCGATATTCCTTTGTTATTTCTCTGCATCGAAGACCAATTATTGCCGACGGTTACCAAGGAGAGCCAAGTGTATTAGAAGGCTTCAGTTTATAGCTAATGCATCTCGATCCGGAATCGCGCGCGTAAACCTTTACCACAGCACATCTATACACAGGTCCACATACATTATTGTTATTATTCAATAACTTTTAATTCTTTTCAGGTGGTCGTATGGAGTGGTTCTGTGGGAAATTGCAACTGTTGGTAATAAGATCAAAATAGCTTATACTGCATGCTTCATTTTTCGTTCACTTCTTCATTCCTTTTTAACTCTGTCACCGAGCTGCATACGATCATATAACTGAATCAATAAATACCAAGGACCCCTCATGAAGTCCTCCGCTCAGTCAGGTCCTAAACCTTTAATTATGCTTCTTCATTGTATTTATTTATTTACCTGTTTAGGAGGCTCACCTTATCCACTTCTGACTAATGCAGAACTCATGAGATTTATCAAGACCGGACACCGGATGGAGAAACCTGAATTGTGCTCAGATCTAGTGTACGTAACTTGCCTCTAACTTAGTTTCGAATGTCTCTAAGATTAGTCACAATGAAAAGAGAAGTATATCTCTTAGAATGATTTCATTTTTCTTCAATTTCCAAAATATTGTTAATCAGAAAAAGACTCCGCTTACTAACCTCGTATGTTCCCTACCTCACCGACGAGTGGTCTCCATTTCAGTAGAGGAATGATAGCTTGTTCGATCGAGAAAACTGATTTTTTTTTGTTGAACCCCTAGCTTTTATAGAGTTCTTCGATCCACTTCTTACGCTTTCTCTCTTTATAATTTTTGTGATAAGCTCAAGTGTATAACTTGTCTATTTAGCGAGAATTATTCGCGCTCGTTTCTTTGTTTATTTATTGTCTTTTAAAGAATTGCAGCTTTTAAGTATTAACTGTTGATTTGTAGAGTTGACTAAGGAGAAAGAGTAGTAAGCGGCGAACAGAGAGCACTAGGATTCTA